ACATTAAAGGTACTGTAGGCAGTGGTGTATTTTGGTTTTGTGCTGCCCTAGGCAAGATTAAACTCAGTCACCTCCTAATCTAAATTTGCCCCACCCCTTCATCTGTAAACTCCACGCCTTATTCACACCTTATTTTGGCATTTTTTCTGTACCCTGGTCCCTGTACCCTGGTCTGCTTAGCCTTTTTCGCCCATCACTCATGGATAGTACCAATGCTGTGATGCAGAAAATTAGGTTGTGTTATCTGCCTTTTATGTAGGAGTACTTACATGCGTGACTATTAACACTTACATAAATTATAGGCACGTTTTGCCAATACGAATAGTCTAGATTTTCTGAGGGCGCTCCCCTATCTCAATTTGGTGAATATTTAGGCAATGGAGAACTCAGCCTCAGCTATCATAGTGACAGAGGCCCAAATAATAATTAATTGGGTGGGACTGTTCTAAGAGTGGTCTGGTTAAGCAATCTCAGCCCTTTGTGTATAAATAACAAATTCATAAATCGTGAATAAATAAATAACAATGCCACTAGATGACAAAAATGTGCAAACTGTACAAAAACGTGCAAAGTGTGTGAAAATCTCTGTGCATGAATGTATAATCAAGCCATCCAAAAGCATCCAAAAGCAATTACTTTACATCATAAAAGTGAATTGATTATCTAATAAGGGACTAGGAACATAACCCTTAGACTTTAATATCAAATAGAATGTGATCAGTCCATAGTCCATAATCCATATGTGAAATTAATAATGTGAAAAAAATATCACCAATAGGTGCAAATAGAATAAGGTCCCAAAAGTGCTTGATCGACTCTCCAAAAATCGTATTAGTGCCACACATACACCCCCCTCCACTCACCGCAATGCAATGGCTGTATATAACAACCAAACAACGCTCACTGATAGACCACGATATTTCAGCGTCTCCTATAAGTGCTTTCAAAACGATGTCCCATAGATTGTTGCACATCAATGGATCCCCACATTCATAGAAAGGAAAAGCTCCTCATTGTATAGTACTTCAAAGACGATTTATTGTAGAAAATGTAAAAACTTACATCCATAAAACAAGATAACTGGCCGGTCAGATTCCACAACAGTAGTCCGCACTTCCGTGTTTGGTATGGTATCAGATAAACCCACCCCGACGCGTTTCGTCATCAAAGACGTCTTTAGGGGGACAGCAGGTCGTGGGACTCACTCTTAGAACAGTCCCACCCAATTAATTATTATTTGGGCCCCTAGCGCAGTACATTCATTAACATCTATAGCTGGACCAAGTTGTCTATAGTACAGCAGCTTTTGATTTATTTATTTATATTATTTTATTTAGATACTTTAGGAACACCCACAAGTGCAGATTTAAAATGTAATTTTTTATCATAGTGACAACCTTAGTTATTATGATGCACGCACCCGCATCCTAGCAACCAATGACACTCAGTTGCACGTCACACAATGTCATTGGTTGCTAGAAAACAGGCGGCCCTGGGTGCGGTTTGCTTGGGCATTCTCCAAGCCTAGATTTGTGGTTGGGTTTGACGAACATGGAAGCAAACCAAACCCGGACACATTTGGCTCTCATCACTAGTGACATATAATTCAGTGGGAGGAATTGCAGCATGAGGCAGGGAACAGTTATTCTAAACACCCGGAAATGTGTAATACATGCAGCGGCTGGGGGGCAGCAACGCAGCAACTTTTTAACACACAGGCCACCAGAAAGGTAAATATATTGCCTCTTTCTTTGCAGGCTGTCTTGTGTCTAGTTGTGTAAACCAGAGGTTGACCCTGCCTTGTGTGACCCTCTGGTTAGGCAGGAACAAACTTCAAGCCAGTAAGCTGGTGACTGACTCCAAGCTCACTCACGGATGGACTACAATTTCACACATAAATTACTTATTTGTATTGAGATTGTAGTCCATCACAGGAGTGAGCTTGGAGCGATGGCTACTTTACAACACACAGGGACCATGGAGAACAAAAGTAGCCACCCTCCAGAAGGAAGGACAGTGTCAGCATGAGTTCAGAGATGATTTGAGGATCTACAGCCCAGTGATACAGCCCAGTTCTTTTACTTCCTGTGCTGGTGACAATGTTGTCACTGAGGCACAAAGTAAGGGAAAATCTCTAGAAGTTACACAAACAGCAACTAAAACCTGACAGATGTTCAAGT